TATTGGCTGGTCCAGTTCCTCCACATCAACCTGGTGCCGGCGCTGTGGCATTGAAATGCAGCATGAACAACCAGACTGCTGACACAGAGCTAAGAGAAGAGTGTTGTCTGAAGTGTCCCTCGGTAGGACCGCACCCTGTTACCATCTGTCTGTGCCTTCTTTGTTTTGTAGCCACAGGTTAATGTTTAGGAGTAAAGCTTTCATCAGTTGCTCACATCCTCGATATTGAAGTCTCCTCTAACTAATCCTCTCTGTGTTTACACTTCTCCAGCTTTTCCACTGCACTCCCTTTGCTCACGTAGCAGCTCTGAGTGCTAAATATTGGATTTTCTCCACCAGAAGTCTGCGCTCGTTGTGTTGCTTCTTGTGCTGATAGCAGCCCCTGATTGTGTAAACATCAGTCTGTCCTCAGTCTTTTAGTCTACTGACTGCAGAAGAAGAGCAGCAAAACTGGGGATGATGACAGGGGAGAGCAGGTGAGGGAGCTCATTACTGAGGGAAAGTGACCTACACAAGTCTCCACACACAATGAGTACGACTGATCCTCCACTCAGGGAAATCCCACAGGGCCTCAGGAAGAAGGTGCTTTCATTACATTTGATTTTCAAAGTGTGTGCAGGTCAAACTGCCTGCCAGATGTTGGCATCGGGTCCCCTCAGTCTGAACAAAGTTTCCCAGCTTTCCCCACTTTTTGACACAGCTCTCAGTGTACAAGTATGGTCAGCATTCAAGCCTCCAAAGTCTTTTATGATTAATGAAAAATTGCTTAGCAAGCGTTTATAAGTCAAACTCTGTGCTCCGTTGTCAGATATTACCTGTATCTTTTAAGCTTCAGTGGCCGGGGCCTCCTCGGAGCTTCAGCCGTGAAGATCCCACACATCAAGTTTAATTTAGTGCAGTGAGAGTAAAAACAGAACGAGATGCTTCATCTGCAGCACATGACGTGAAATGTCAATCTCATGTTTCACAAATGAAGTAACACAGCTGAAAGATGAGTCGGCTTCCCTGCTGGCCACGTTTTGTTCACCTGCTGACAATGGACGAAAGCCTGGTTTGTTCACTTTATACATGCTCCCTTTAGGTAATATTATCAGGAAGCACAACATAAATTTCCATTGCTATGCAGATGATACTCAGTTATATTTATCTATGAAGCCAAATGAATCAGGTCAGCTGGCCAAACTTCAAGCATGTCTTAAAGACATAAAGGCCTGGATGACCTGCAACTTCTTACTTCTAAATTCTAACAAAACTGAAGTTATTGTGCTTGGGCCTGAAAACCTTAGAAATCTGCTGCCTAATCATACAGTTACTTTAGATGGCATAGCTCTTGCTTCCAGTACTACTGTGAGGAACCTTGGAGTCATCTTTGATCAGAATATGTCCTTTAAATCACACATAAACCAAGTCCCTAGATCTGCCTTCTTTCACCTGCGCAATATTGCAAAAATCAGGAGCATCCTGTCTCAAAGTGATGCTGAAAAACTGGTCCAGCACTAAAATGAAACAACTCTGTCTCACTTGTGTTTTAATCAAATTAATCATCTATGTCATACACAGCTTCACATACACAGAAAAGAGGCATTCACAGTGGATTTAAAGAGGCAGTATCAGCGATGCCCTCACAGATACAACATGGCCCGAGGGTGACGCTGAGTCCCATGACATAGCACAACAGTAAGACCTCAATGGCACATGGCTTAGGCTTAAAAACAGAGATATTCTTGTTTCAAACCTGCTGTTTGTTCAGTGTGCAAACATAAATCCATAGATATTTGTGCAAGTTTCATCATTTCTCTTTGTTTTAGTGACTTGCTGCCTTGGTGACTAAGCCTTAGTTTTTCTTTGTGTAAGTTTTTTTCATGAGTCATCTGTTTAAACCAACTTCTTTTGTTTTGAATGAAGCTAAAAAATGTCAAGACACCAGCAATTTACGTTTCTTTGTTACACAACCACTTTTGCTCAAACCTTTCTCTGTACTTTCAAGTGTGAACATTTGTCATTTCCTCTGGGAACAAAGCAGTTGTTTCTTTCCTGCAGTGGTGAGAAACCATTCACAAAGGCATCCAAAATTCAGTGAGAAAACAACAGTGACACTGTGGCTGCTCACTTCAGTATTAGCTAACAGAAGCTGGGGAGAAGACTGATAAAAGTCGAACACTTTGACCTGGTGAGCTTATAAACGAGGCAGATATGTACTTCAGTCACTGTGAGTTTAAATACATGCTTATATGTTCACACACACATGAAAGCACACACACCAACAGGTCCTCCAGCATGGGCCAAATCTGGTCCTGGGACATAGTATTGTGTTGAGGGCTGAGTCCTGTCACCCAGCTGGAATTGGGTTCGACCATTGTGTTTGGAAGGTCAGATCTGTTGGATTTGGACCAGCCTGCTGCCCTTCATGTTTTCAACTGATCACATAGAGATTCTCATGGAACAGCGTCATTTAGAGTCTGGAACCAGGCCTGTTCAACACAGGAACTAGCCCATAAAACACTCACATACATAACATTTTGAGACCTAAGAAAGTAAAATGCTTCATCACAAAGGAAAAGCAGTGCTTAAAATTGTAAGTTTGCTCCTCTGTAAATATTTCTCACTGCCTATTGTATGACAGTGTGTTGAAGAGTCAACTACAGATTGTTAGTAAGATTACAAAAGAGAGTAGTGTGTTTCAATGGTGAGAAGACTGGACTGTTTGGACGCACTACCTGCATTTGTGCTTAAGGTTTCCTCTTCCTGTCCTGGTACAACACCAGCACACACCAGCCTCCTGTGTCTGTGAGAGGACTCAGTTGTTAAAGGGCCCACTATTGTCTTGTGCATGTGATTTTGGTGTGTGAGACTTGAGTTCAGGCCTCAAATGCTTGTAATGTATTGAAATAATTGTCACTTTCTGTGATCGTGTAAGGAAGAGTCTGGAAATTATTAACAAATTAGAAAAGAACATGGCAAATATTCCACAGCACAAAAATATTTTTGTTTTCCTGACTTTTCTCAACGTTTTACATTTGCCTTGTGAACTAATGTGGAGTTTACCCATTGTATGGTTGAACTACTCATAGCTCCCATGGATTACACTCGCAAAAAATAAACAACAACCTTTACACATGCTGTTTGCTAAAATGCCACTGTGTCCAGCTCACTGTGGCAGCACAATCTGGCATTTAGAGGCACTTACAAGCACAACACCAAGGGTAAAAGTAACATAGACCCCCCAAACCTCACATTTTAAATTGGGTGAGAAAGCACTTTAGGGGATGAGAGACTGAAAACCATTTTAGATACTGTATATTAGCTGCCTGTTCAATTTTTAGTTGATTTGTATTGCTATCTTATATAGCACTGAATGAACTGGTACTTAGCTATAAACTGGGACTAGAGTTGAGACACCAACACTTTCTGCTTGAGTACATCGATTTAGCTCAGACACTTCCCTCTTTTAAATCGCTTCAGATTTAATCACTTCATTGTGCAACTTACTTTTATTATGATTTAAATTGCTTGTTGATACTGCTTATTTTGTTATATTACACAGCCTTATGTTGGTTTACTGTTTACTTGCCCCATGCATAGGGATATGTACATACACATTGAGAGCCGCTGTACCAGAGTCAAATTCCTCATGTGTCCGACACACCTGGCCAATAAAGCTGATTCTGATTCTGAAATTCTTTGATTTTATACATTTTTAGCCAGTCGTGTCTAAATGCCTTTGTTTATATTCTGTATGCTATGTTTTTATGTTGTAAAGCAACTTAATTCCCTTTGTAACTTTTGTTCATAAAGGTTATTATAATTATGGTTTTTTAATTAGTTTGTCCTAAGGCAGCACTGCAGGACAAATCAGGAGCAACAACACCTGCACAAACATGCTGGTCTCACATTATATATTGTTTGTCGTAACATTGCTGTGGTTCACAGTTTGAATATGCTTTCCCAGAATTATTGTCTTTCTTGTGAGGTCACAAAGATGCATGTGTCACAGACGGTTGGAGGCCTGTAATTAAATTCCTTTGCAGTTTTGACACGTTAAGGAAACCAGCTAACCTGGCAGCTTTATGTAGTCTGGGTCTACGAGAGAAAAAGAGAGAGACGGGTGTGCGAGAGGGACGAAGCGTGAATTGTTCTCACTGGTGAAGAAGGAAGTGGAAGGGCAGCTTCCTCTCTGTGTAACGCCGGGCACCATGGGAGGGTGAGGAGAACTGAAGTGCACACAATAGAAAAGGGGTGGGTGTAGGGCAGACAGGAGGCGTTAATGGGGGAAGGATGTAAACGCAGTGTGCGACTGGATGAGAGAGACCGAAGTTTTGGTTGAATTTGGCAGAGCTGAGATGCTGGAGAAAATTCCTGTTTGGTCTCCTGTGTGTGCGTGTATGTTGTGTTTGGCCTTTGCCAGAGCTGGAAGAATTAAAGATATTTTATGAGACATTTCTGTTTTTATGTGAAGGCGGTTTCCACAATAGTGTTTCCACATGCAATTAACAACAGAAATGTCAGAATCAAAGCTCGTAATAATTTCAAGGAGGAAAAAAATGAACTTTCATCCATAGGTAGGATGTGGCACAAAAAAAGAATCCTGTTTTAGGCACTCAAGTGTATGATCAGGAACACTAACAAAGAGCGGAGCAATGTACTGACAGTTAACATGTTCTAAAGATACACAAATGCTTACCCGAGCATTTACCTTCATTTCTTTGAGTGCCTGGGCCAGTAATTTGTATGTCTAATTGCAGACACCTGTGTTAAGGTGAACTCGGTGAATGAGTGGAAAAGGCTCCATTAATGAAATCACCTGTGTCATGCAGCAGACACACAGTCAGTCACTGAGAAAAGACCTCATCTTACCTGCTCTGTGTGTAGAAGGTAAATGGCTTGTTCAGCCCCTCCACAGTTGAACTGTATTTAGCAGTGTGGTCACTGTATATACCTGATGCCTTAAGCCTTAGTAAAAATTTATAAACCAATATTGTGTTTTTGTCTCAACCCCAGAGCCCATTTTGGAGAATCCTTATGTCCATAATAAGTCCACTGACAGTGAACAGCTTTGAGCTTTTATTTTCCCTGAGGAGGAAATGTCCTTAAAATTTGATCAAACCACAACTGAAATCAGACAAAGCAGATAGTTGAGAGTTTAGCTTTTATAAATTGCTTGGATGCATGTTCTTTTACTTACTTTAGCATTGATTGTTTCTGTGAAGGGTGGCATGGTGGGCCAGTGGTTAGCACTGTCACTTCACAGCATAAAGATTTTGGGATTGAGCTTTTCTGTGCAAAGTTTGCATGCTCTCCCTGTGCTTGCATGGGTTCTCTTCAGCTTCCTCCCACAGTCCAAAGACATGCAGGTTAGGTTGATTGGCGAGTCTAAATTGCCCATAGGAGCGAGTGTGGGTGTGTGTGGTTGTCTGTCTGTAGGTGTGATATCCTGGTGACCTGTCCAGGGTGTACCCCGCCTCTAACCCAATGTCAACTGGGATTGGCTCCACTTAGATTCCAGGGGGAACTGATTAGATTTTGGCGGTCAAAGGTCAAGGCCAGTGACCTCACATCTGTCCCATTCTTGTGAAGTAGGCATACAACCTGGAAGCAGTAAGTTAGTTCTGTTTTGCTCACCACTTAAAAGTTTCTTTAGCTGCTAAATGTTCCACTCAGTGGTCAGATTGTCACTAATTTTGTTTAGAGCTTTTTTTGTGTGTGTGTGAACAGCTGCAAGTGGCATTAGTGCAGATGTGAGATAAAAAAGCAAAACAAGGAGCCAAAAGGTTAATAATACTTTTGGAGCTGAGAACTGTATAGTCAAATGATTATTTTGTGTTGTTTGCCCCTACTGGCAACACTCTAGTCCTGTGAGCAGACGTTAATAAAAAGCGCATTAAGATTTTGAAAGAAAGTTTTCAAACGCCCTAAAAAATTCTCTCTGGGAATCATCCAGGTGATGTTAATGGACTCATAAACTTCTAAGGAAACAAAACAAAAGGAGGATGAAAGTAATAAGGAAGGTTTTGATAAAAGTGCATGAAGGGTGACTAAGGTTCTGGGAAAGTTGGTATAAGAGGGAACGTTGTAGGTATATGTATCGCTCAGGGCAGGAAGAGCAGCCTGACGGGCTATATTTCAGAAGAGGGTAACACCCTCTGTGTCTCTATCAGGTGAAAGATATTACCCAGTTCTTTTAACTGCCTGCAGAACTCATGACAATGAACTAAGCATTTAACAGCCTGAGCATAGACAGCCTGTCTCCACTAAACTAATACAACAAATATCTAATCAATATCTATCTGACTAAGAAATTACCTAACACAGGGGAACACATGGCCAGACACAAGGTGATTTTTATGCCTCCAGGTCCCCTCAGTCAGCCAGCTGCCCAAGACAATGTTATCGACGGATAGGAGTGTTGGCGCACACGGTCAGCCATCCACTGCAAAACACCCACAGGGGTTTCTCCCACACATACGGATGATGATTGATGATAATATAATTTAATGTTGTTTCCTCAAATGAAGCCGAGTCACTTTAACAATGACCAGGACAGACAGGAAGTCATAAAACATTGCCTTAGTTTTTAAGTCAAAAAGAAAGTGCAACAACAGCTGTTTGTGATTTTACTTACATGTAAAGCTCCAACAATATAGTCTGTTCATTCACTGTTTGTTTTCAGGGATGTATGGTGGACATAAACATCCATACACCCCTCATTTGTCTTCTGTCATACACTCATAGAACATGGACAAAGTCAGTCTGTTCACACACATACACGAGCAACCACACACAGCACCCGTCTGTCCTCATGTCTGAGTTAGGGGGATATCTAAAATATCCCTCTTCCTGTGTTTGTTAGGCCGCTCCTTCTCCACGGCTGCACACTGGGATGCTATAACTCGACAGTTGTGATGGGGGGGTGGCATTAAGTCTCTATGCTTCCTCCAGCTCCCTCCATATCTTGATAACCTTGTTCCTAGTGGGGTGGAGAAGGAGCTGACAAGGTCGACTGCATGACTTTTGTTTGCTTTAATTTTTTGAAATCATCAGTTACTGACTTTACACAAAGAAACATTCAATATTCTTATAAAAACATTTGGAATAAAAACATTGATAGAAGATTTTAATAACAATTCTCAATAGGCGAGGCTAATCTTTTCACAGCAGACACTTTCACTTCTCACTGCGAATAGTCCGAGCCTGGTGCCTTAAGCTTTCAGTAAAGTCTATACACTCAAGTTGGGTCTCCATCCCCTGATCAGCCCCTAATAATAGTGTTTCACAGCAAAAATTTTGAATTAAAACAAGTATTTAGCATAGGCCAAGATGCAGTGATAGTAAAGTAAAAGGATTATAGCCTCCACACTAATTTGATGCTTCAAAAAATAATATTTATTCAGGGCAATCTGCTACACCAACAACAAAGACGTAATGTCGAAATGCTGTTGATGACATTGAGCCAGTATATAAAATAGCAGAAACCAAATCAGCAAAATTGAAATATACATCAATATCTGAGAGTTTTTAGAAATGTATAACATTATATATTGTGCCCTGTTACTTTTTAACATAAAAACATTGGCAACAATTTATTTTATAAGGATTCCTTAGATTTGGTGAAATGTCAAACCTCTTTAAAAACAAATAACACTATATTTATTATAAATAAAAACTTGAAATCATGGCCAGCAATTGTTTTCTTAATTGCTGTACTATAGCCGGTTGATCTTGGTGGCTAATATTAGGTATTAACATTATAAACTTTATTTAGGTGTTTCTGTTTAATTGGCAAAATAAAACAAGAAATAAAAAGGCTTCTCTAGAAGAAATGATTGTTGTGGTCCTTCCACTCACTGTTGATCAGGGGCCTATTTCAAGAAGGCGGTTTAACAAACTCAGAGTTCAAACCTGAACTCTGAGTTGACTTACTCAGAGTTGGAAAACTCGGAGTTTTCGGTTTCAGAACAGCTGAAAAGAGTTGGTTTAATCAACTCTGAGTTGTCTGACTCAGAGTTAGGCGCGTGCCACGCGACTATAAAAAGCCCTGAACAATGGAGTGAAGAAATTACGAGTCACCATGGCAACAGGACCAAGCCAAAATAGGTCTGCGTTTTTCCCCGACAGAAATGGATGTGCTACTACAAGCATATAGTGACTACGAGCCCATATTCCGTAAGAGAAGCAACACGGTTGCAGCGGCGAAAGAGAGAGAGTTAGCTTGGGGGAAAATAGCTGCCCGAGTCAATGCGTACGTTTACATTTTAATCATACAGTATTCGGTGTAAGTAATTACTAAATAATGTTAGTAATGTGATTATTTGTCACTTGTAAAGTAAGGAATGGTTCTTAATTCGTCAATAATTTAATGAGTAACGTCAGTAATTGCATAAAATGCCGATTGTTGTACGAATTAAAAGTGCAGTTTTATGTCTACCCTTTCTTAAAATTCCTATTGTGGTTGATATGGGATTTGTAAGGTAATGAGTAATAGGTAATCCAATACGTCTTATGGAGGGAGTTTTTGGTTTCAGAACAGCTGAAAAGAGTTGGTTTAATCAACTCTGGGTTGTTTGACTCAGAGTTAGGCGCGTGCCACGCGACTATAGAAAGCCCTGAACAATGGAGTGAAGAAATTACGAGTCACCATGGCAACAGGACCAAGCCAAAATAGGTCTGCGTTTTTCCCTGACAGAAATGGATGTGCTACTACAAGGATATAGTGACTACGAGCCCATATTTCGTAAAAAAAAAACAAAAAAACAACACGGCTGCAGTGGCGAAAGAGAAAGAGTTAGCTTGGGGGAAAATAGCTGCCCGAGTCAATGCGTACGTTTACATTTTAATCATACAGTGTTCGGTGTAAGTAATTACTAAATAATGTTAGTAATGTTATTATTTGTCACTTGTAAAGTAAGGAATGGTTCTTAATTCTTCAATAATTGAATGAGTAACTTCAGTAATTGCATAAAATACCGATTTTTGTACGAATTAAAAGTGCAGTTTTATGTCTACCCTTTCTTACAATTCCTATTGTGGTTGATATGGGATTTGTAAAGTAATGATTAATAAATAATCCAGTATGTTTTATGGAGAGTAATTATTACATTAATCAAAATACTTTTTTAAAATTGACCCAACACTGATGTAATAATATAAGAATTGAATTTTAATTTTCATGTAGGTGCATTGATGGGAATATGTGTGCCATCAATGCATCCAAGCGCATTAGGAAATCCTGAAGGGGATTCTAATTATTAGTTTATTTCCAGAGGTCACAGCAAGATGTTATTAACTGATCATCATTTTTCAGATTAGCCTTACTGAAACGAATTCAATACCACTAACCTGCAATCCTGTGAAACTCCTCTTTAATGGCTCTGAGGGGTTTGTGCCCAGGAAACAACAAAAATTCACAGAAAGCGCTTGAGGGTGAGGCACACTTTCCGAACTATTCTACATACTGTGGCCTTACTTGCTCTGCATCCCCGATGTTATAAAGAAAACTACCGTTTACAACAAATGTAACGCAACACAAAGCATCTGCTCGGATGTAAGAGCACGGCCACGATGGGTGATGTGTCTGATGTATGGGTGGATAAGATTATTGATATATGTTATGGACTCTCTAGAAAAACGGTACCGCTCAAATAAAAATACATGGGGATATGACAAAAAATCAACTCGTGGCCTCAATATCCTCTCCCGACGTAAATGCAATTCCCTGCGAATTAATACAGCGTCCTCATCTACAGGATCCTCTATGAATGGACACGCCATTTTGGTCTCTGCGTGACGGAAACGTGTGCAATCTATGAATGTACTGAAAGATTAAATGAGGTATTAAACACCTTTCACTTTAAAAAGGGGCGGAGACCCGGAGGAAACTCTGAGTTTCCCGAACAAAACCTGCTCGCCAGCAGGTTAGGTTCACAGAGTAAGTTGCCGTAGTAACTGACTCTGAGTTTAGATTACCTCTCTTTGTGAAACGGGTTTAACTTACCCCGCTTCACGGGTTTAAGTTACCTCCGTTTCTGAAACCGAAAACTCCGAGTTGCCCTCATTTCGGGGTTAACAAACTCGTTTCGACAAAACCGCCTTCTTGAAATAGGCCCCAGGTCATATAATGATGATGTGTTTAAAGCTACTGGTTCAAATGAATTCTGGGAAATGAAAGTAAATTACCCTACAACTTGTGGCCACAGTGGTTGCTTTTTTGTATGTTTTACATTTTTGCTTTAATGTGTCCATAATTACCTCAGGCAGACACACACGTATAGAGCTGATAGAAACAGTAAACAAGGACCAAACACACATAATAATGCATATGTGACTGGTATATGCATCTGTAACATATTCATCATTAGTGCCTCCAGAACAACATTTCAGCCAGGGTCTGAGATCAGATGGTAAGAATAGCATCAGTCTAAATCTGTAGGATTAAACAGTGCTGGAAACAGATGGGATCTTGAGAGAGAGAGGTCTAGGATACATGACGCCTGACGACCGTCTGCCATGTCGGCTTCTCGTAATCCCTCACCTGTTCACTCAAAGCTGTGTCACCTTGTATTGAGCAAACAGCACGGCTAATCATTTACTACCTGGGCTCTTTTCTCTGGGTCTGCTGGTGAGCAGAGCACTGGTTTATCAATAGCCTGTAGCTCCCAATAGTGAAGATGTGGATGAAAGTAAGGATCAATGGTGTTGTGTGTCCTTTTACAATGAATGCACTTTTACTACAGTATGAATCTCCATTTATGGAAAACTACAGTGTCTAGCTGTTTCAGGAAATTACTCTTCCTTTTTCAAAGTTAAAAGTTTGTATCTGTGACCAATTGTCATTTGCTGCTGAAATATAGACTACAGCCAGCCTCATCCTTTGTTTTATTTAGTTTTTTTAGGGAGACCCCTTTAAGGAAACTTTCTACTTTGCTTAATACTGCACATTAAGTCTACAGCTGTAAATGTAACATATTGCCATTAATCAAAGCAAAAACAATATAAGAAAGTAAGACTTGAGCGCTCTGTTTTATTTAATAACAAATATACATTAAAAGAAGAAATGCAAAAGAAAAAAGCTTAAAAAGTAAACAAAAATGAATGAAATAAAAAATAAAGATGAGTGAACCCGAACTCAAAGGAAGGCCTGGGGGAAGATGTGGGAATTCAAATGGTAGGACAGGAAGTTTCTGACTGATGATCACGTCACCAGACAATGTAAAGTGCAGTAAATGGGTCTGATTGACGTTTGTGACAAAAGAAACATGCCAGTGCTGTGACTCACTCCCCTCGGTGACTTAGACAAGGTTTGTGTTGACATATACCAGTGAATAATAGTTTGGGCATGTATGTCTTTGTCTTTCCCACTATGAAATTTGATACCACAAATATTGTCATATTCTCCGGCCGTAGCTCCGGGAGCCACCAGTGGTTCGGAGATGAGTTGGAGGACATCTGTGAGGCTATGAAGGTTGTTCCATGTGTCCATCAAGCCTGGCTTCCCTCAGACTTGGGTGAGGCAGGGCTGAAATGGGTTTATGTCATGAGCAGAATAACAGGCAGGGGTCAGGCTGGTGAGCAGTTGGGGAGGGTTACACTAATGTATCCTGGCAGCATGGGCTTTTTCCATCAAACACTCAAGTAGACATACACCAAGTTCACACACAGAGGCACACATAAACATGTGCAACTGCTTTCTCTCCTCTCTTGCTCTTTATCTTTATGTAACTCACGCACATTCAGACATCATCCTGGCACTGCTGAGACACTGCAAGTGGTGAGATGACGTGAAGTGGTAGAACGTTGCTTCTTTGGTGCAAATCACTTCATGCAGTTATTCTGTATGGGTGTTGTTCCATGCCTAAATCCCTCCTGATAAGCAGCTCAATGGAAATGTCACCTTTAAAGTGAGGAATTCTATGAAACTAGAAATTAGCAACAATTTTCTATTGTCTTCAAATGACTGATGGAGACTTGAGATGTTAGATTTTCCATAGCTTCTTGTTTAAAGAACCTTTATTTAAGCAAACTTTTTTTATTCACAATCACCAGCCCTTTACAGATCCAGAAGGAAAAAGATGTCTTATTCTTAGTAAGTGAGGCAGTTTGGTGTTGATTCTTTCTTTTATGGGTTGCGGTGCATTTACAGAAATGCTCTGACACACTCCTGACATAGACTTAGCGTGGAAAGGTTTTGTTAGAGCAAGGAAGGACAGAATTAATACAAGTCTGATCCATTAACACATGAACACAAAAATCATTTTCTCTGGTCTCTGATCAAAGGCACAGTTGTTGGAGAAGAGAATTTAGCCATTCAGGTCACTGATTAGGCCATGACATTGCCAGGATGAAGAAAGTGAACAAGAGCACAAATGGTGGTTGCTCTATAAAAATTCACTGTCACTGAAAGGAACTATCTCTTTGTAGGAAAAATAAATTTTTCACTTTCTTGCTGCGCGCTGGACACGAAGATCAATACCATTCTTATATCTGTGCTTTATGAAGCTACAGTCAGCAGCCTGTTAGCTTAGCCTAGCACAGTATCTGGGAGAGAATATGGTGCACGTCACAAGGAAATCCGATGTTGGTCAAGACAAAGAACAACAAGAATGGTGTAAAGCAATGTATTTTGGTGAAAGTATGCCTTGTATTATGTGCATTCACCACATAATTACATTCATTTGAATGCCGTTGTATCCATGTTTGCCCTTCAGCAAGGTGAAATCAAACCTAAAAGATTCCCATTACATAATGTAGCATGTTTCTGCAGGCTGCATCGGGCTGCAGAGCTCAGAGAGAGGAGGATGAGCTCTTTCAGTTCTGAATGCATCCCAAACTTCAGCAAGCAGTGTCAGACTAGCACAAGCTTTCAAGAGCAGTATGAGTGAAGCCAGAATCAAGAAATCATGAATAGTAAGTAGTATTTCTACCAGTCTTCTGACTTTATGACTCTTTTTTATGTTTACTGTTTTTTTTTTTTATGAAACCTCAAATTTAGGCTAATTTAAAACAGTTATGGGTGTTCAAGAAAAAAGGCTGAAATCACATTTGTTGTTTACTTTGTCCTTGTTTTAATTTACTTAAGAATTACAAGATAAACACATGGGTAAACACATCATCTACTTTTTGAAATGAATAAATAAATAATAAAGATTAATTCTTCCTCTGCAGGAACTTTTCTGGAACTGCGCAGACAACAGAGCTGTAAGCCGAGAGGAGAACTCAGTAAATAAGAGCAGTCTGGAAGTTTACTCAGAGCAGAATTGCCATTGATCCCAGAAAACAATTCCACTTCCCCTGCTGTTACCGGTGAATGCTTCCCAGCAAAAAATAAAGCACCAGGGATGTAAGAAGACAGGGGTGGTGGAGGGCAGGAAGAGGAGGAGAGACAGAAGGGAGGGCCATGGAGGGAAACTCTTGTGATGCCCCTGCTTTTCTTCTCGTGCCCCCATGTGTGGACAGCCAGTTTGGTGCTGGGACAAAACTAAGCTGAGAAGCTGCTGTCAACAGCTGGCTCCTGCTGTTGTTCAAAGTGTGTGTGTGTGTGTGTGTGTGTGTGCTCACCTCTGCATCATCACATGATATTTGTCCTCAGGAAGACTTGTCGTATCAGGTGACAGATAAGGAGCCTCAACTTCATTCAAGACGGCAGAATAACAGGTAAGCAACCAAACACAGAAAAGCCTTACTTTAGTGGAGAAATAAAAAGATGCATACATTTGGGTAAATGCTATGAGCATCCTGCTACAACAGCACTGCACTCTCTGAGGTGGTTTGTTAAAGAGCTGGGATGATGGGAGTGGGAGGCCTGGTGTGTGTTAGTCTCATCCCTGTCGGCAGTCCCGGCTGTAACCCTGCTTCTACTCTGTCCTCTCTTCTCTCCGTCTCCATCTTTCTCTGCTTTGCTTATAACTCTCATAAGAGTCAAACATATTCAAACAAAGTGCAGCACCAGAGACTTTGAAACACAGAGCCACCAGCACATGTGTATCTACTGAGTGAAGATGTTCAGGAATTGTTCTCTCTATGGTGTCTCAGGGGCCAAAATGCTTATTTGATCCTAGATCTCCCACAGTTTCTTGTCATACCAAAGTGTAGGAGTTGCTACTTAACTATGAAGACAAACCAGTACTGTGGATTTTACATTTACAATGTTTCTATTGCTGTAGACAAAGGGTAGAAAATCGTAAGATGGTTTTAGGCTCTGACAAAAGCAGAAATTCATACAGCTGTTCATTAATCTGGATACACACGTGTGTTCTGTCAAGGCGCTGGCTCATATAAATAAAGCATAGACATACATTTATAACTCTGATTTAAAAAAAAAAGTATTTTAAGCTACTGTATATAAGCAGATGAAGTATTATCAGTGTTATGCACGTGTCAGTAAAAAAAATCACTATGGAGGCTAGTGTTATATTATTACATATTATACCACTGGATCATAATTAACCTTGCATAAACAATTAAGAAACATTTTGATGTTGTGGTTGTGGTGGAGCTGATTCAACTGATTTTATGTTACTGTATGTTTTCATTTATTATATAAAAACATATTTATAGTATTTACTTATTAAAGGTCTAGTCTCTATCTAAAAAGCAACTATAGCTATTAAATAAATGTATTATATTTAAATAGAAAGCAGAAAAAATGATACTTTAGAACTGTACATGCATAAGTGTGTATTGTTGATTTTCACAAACATCTCAGCATATCTTGCCTTTTTCAGAAAACAGATATCTAACTTAATACAAACCTAGACAAGTTAAAAGTGCCATCACTTACATGAATGTCCACATGCACACAAGTTAATGACAAGTTATTCAACTTGGGTGTTTTTCTGTTTGACACTGAAGACACACCAGTGCATAAAATAACCAGCCTTGTTACATTAGAGTGAATCCCAGGTCCCCAAACAGTCATAAAAGACATTGTATTTCAGTGTAAACAACAAGTGAAATTTGTGTAAAGATGTCTCCCAGCGCCACATAAGAGGTTACAATCACCGATGATACTGTGTGTGCTATGATAGATCATTTTCTTTTATCACCGACTATTAAGCTAGACTTCAAAATAAAAGACAAAAACATGCCTGACATTTAATCTGTCATCCCCCACAAATAGCAGTCATCCAGGGATTTCACATGGGAGTGTGTTAGTTAGAATTTTCCTTCATAAAACACCTTGCAGCTGTCCCGCCTGAGGCTCCCAGCGTTAATGCCATATGCAGCTAAACAATAGATCATAACGGGGTTGTGGGTCTGTGTACAGTAGTGGGCAGATGAAGAGCCAAACAGCCTTGTAAGGTAGCAGGCAGCACACCGGCCCACCGGCTTCTGCTGGCTTGACTGATCTATGGCAGCCTAGACCCACGCTGGACTGTAAGTGGTGGCAACAGGTGACTCACACCAAGCCAGTACAGCTAAACTTAAACATGCTCATCCTTGATCATAATCTTGGAGTGACGCGCACACAGCTGCTGCGATGAAACTGGGATTGACTGGCCACACAAAGCCACTGAACTTTGCCTTATAATATAATAAGCCTTATTTGTTTGCATTAAGTTCTCAGTTATACCCAGGTCACCTCATAAAATAGCCTCATTCACTCAGATTAAAAATAACCAGACTTGGTATGTTTGGCATGGTATGTCAGACAATGTGCTAGTGTGCTAGAGCACACTAGCACATTGTCTGACATTTTCCTCGTGCTCCTCTGCGGTTGTTGGGCTGTCACAACACTGCACATGCAAAATCAACTGTTGCTGGCAAAGCTCCTGGCAGGCACTTCTTGTTTGAGGTCATTCAATGTTGTTGGATTGGACAAACATTCATCGTCAGGCAACCAGCAAAAACAGATGAAGAGTCATAACTAGTAATAACTGAAAATAGAAAACAGATAAACAGAAAAAGGTCTGATCAACATTATGATATAAAGGGTGGTGACCACTGTAAAGTGATAAAGCCATAGGGTAACACATTTTTATACACAGATTAAACCACTCACTGAGATTAATCAAACAAAGTACAGTTATTGGGTTGACAAAACATCAATATTTGCCCTTATTTTTTATTTTATTTTTTTTGCACAGTCAGGAGTCAGGGCTCTTTTGGAAAACGCCACAGAACTCATGCCGGCTCAAACTGTGATGTGGTTTCAGGATCCCAAAAACTCAACTCAACACAGATCGCTTAAGTGTTTCATTTGTTTTTGTGTTCAGTGCACAGCAATTACATGACCTAATACTGCACTGAAACAGAACATATAAATGAGAGCTGCAATCTGATCTTGAGCCAATAATTGTGCCATGTACTTTTAAAGGTCTACAGTAGTATGTCCTGAGGCCGACAGGCAAAATGTGACTAAAATGTTTTTAGAAATAAGGTCAGGCTTTCCCTGTGTGAATCGGTGTGGACAAATATCCTCTCTATGTCAAACACTGTGCAAGTTCTTAGGAAAAAAATGAGTTTTGTCACTGTGAACTTTATAATGGAAAAAATATATTAGTTAAGTGCTTTTTCTTCCACTGTTGTTGGTCTGTTGTTAGCTTCCCGTTAAAGGGGAGCAGGCCACAAACTGCTACTCCTACCATCCAACTGCACAGACCAGACTGGTCCTCTATGAGGATCTGCAGTCTGACAAACACTGCTTAGTGCTGAAGGGTACAGATCCCTTAAGGAATGTTTAAATCAACCCTGCCCCCTGTTGTCCCTGCTTTGTGGATGCACTACAGGCTAAGGGAACCAGCTAGTGTTGGCAGATGATGGAAACTGATAAGCAAAATATAATCAGCTGCTTTTATTTTGTTCTGATCCTCAGTTAAAGTTTAGAAACTAAAGAACAGAAAAATGGTGAGAAATTGTCTGTTATGCTATGACACAACTAAACGTTACATAGCAAACATACATTTAAACGCCACTGCGCACATACCACACAGCAATATAAACGTAGGTTGATGTTCTTTTAAAACTTCAGACTGGGGGTTTCTCCAGTCGGAGGTGCCGATTCCTCTCATCCCACACTGATTCTTGAACCAGAGAGTCACTGCCCTTTAAGGCAAAACCGAGGCTGGAGAATTTATTGTTGTGCTCCGGGGTAGGAAACTTTTATTCCTATTGCTCTGCAGCAAGTCACATCAGGAGCAGCAGCCATCGCCTCACACTGGTGCAGTTTAGTCACTGCTCGTTCTCTCTTCACTTCTCCAACCTGCCTGGCTGCTGTCCAGAGCGGCTCAGTGTCACAGCCACATTCAGTGAGTCCTGTGTAAATTTGAGCTGACCCTGAAGTGATGAGAGGACTGTTGTTCTTGGCTATAGTTCATCTACGTTCTTACTTAGTTTATCATATCTCTGCATCACCTATCCTAGCTGTTGTTTCCATGAAGCTTTCAACACTTCCTTGGTGTGGGGTGCGCACACACACACACACAGACGTACGTTATCCTTGACGCTTTAAGCAACGTCAAGAGAAATAACTCAAAGGAGTATAATGTCCCATTTGCGTAGTTCACTCTTCCAAATACCTTATAACCAGAATGTCCATTACTTGTCCTTTACTCTTCCACAGAGATTATAAACAGTCTGACAGCCATGACGGTCCACAGGCAAAGCAGACCACTCAGGTTAGGGCACAATGGATCACAGTAAATCCTTGGTTATTGCCAGGCTTCCACAACAATAAGTATCACAGACAACCAGTGATGGCAAAAAAGAGAAAAGTGCGTTTTACAGCTGTGACCTCTTTGCCCCCTTCCCTCTCTCTCTTTTTAATGCCCTGTTCCTTTGGCCCTTCGGAAATCATATTGTTTAAAATTACTTCCTCTGAGAGCAGAATGATGTAGTCGGAGTGGTCTTTCCCCAGCAGATCTGAACTTCGCTAAGAAAGGCTTCCATTTCCACCACTGTGTATGAGTGTGTGTACTGTACAGACCACATTACTACATCGTTTCTGAAAAGTCTGTTGTTGGTATCAGCTGATAAGAACATGGCCGGTTCAGCGTGTACCTTCTGCTGTTATGCTGGCTGGAGTCTCTCCCCCTCCTCCTCCAGCTTTGCTCTTTTGTGATTTACTTTTAGTTATGATCATCATCGTTATTCAAGCAAAGCCAGTTCCTTGAGTGGGAAATAGATCTGCATGGGTGCATGATGGAAAACAAGTGTCGTACCATAGACTTTCCTGTGCTGTGCAGTGCTGTATCCACCTTGGGTGTGTTAATAGAGTCTGAACATTTCCTCTTCCACATGTTTTCCTGAGGGTGTTTTGTTTCCAGTCTCTCTGTGCTTTACAGATAAAGAGCACAACTATCTGATTCTCCATTTTATTGCTGTATACTTCACAGAGACACTGAGGGAGGGGAGGGACAGACAGCAGGACAGATGGTCATGGTCATTTAGACCATCTCTCTCACACACACACACATACGCACACATAGTGTCAGTGTCAGCCAGGCAATTCAAAACCCTGCTCAATGGACTAAGCAGCAGAAGTAACTTATCTCTGTGGGGAAATGGAAGCAATGGCTTATGGATAACACTTGGAGGGAGATGAAGGGCGGTAAGAGAGAGTACCAACTCCTTGTTTGACTTTTCAGACTCTCTGTGATTGTAGTGATTGTACTGACTATCTTTTCCCTACCTGGCACACCATTAAAATAGCAGTTTATCTTTACACACAGCTGTTGAGGAATGCATGCATTTTTTTACAATGCTGCCAAGTAGGGCAATCATTCCAGATTGGTGACATGTTGGAAAACCCTGTCAAATTCTTACTTTCCACCCACTTTACTTATGTTACAGCTCATCTCTGTTTGATCTCTAATCATACAGTAAATGCTAGAAGTAGTCATACAAACATAGTGCATGTAGAAGTCAGAGGTCACCCTCTGGGATTGGTTGGTTTTCTTAAGCCCTCAGTGATGGGGCCATTAATGGCAGCAATAAAGCTGTCTGCTAAGCTGCCTTATAGGGTCATTCTTGACTGAGATTCACCAGCCTGTCACTGCCATGTTTGGATTTTACCCAAACTCTCACTAATGCTGGAGTCGAGAGGTGAGAGCATGCACACTTAGATACAGTGGTTAGATGGAGAAGTCTGTTTGATGCTTTAAAATAGTTTGCTGGGTGGGAGGAGGGTTTCATCACTGCAGAAAGGACTGCTGTTCTGTCGCTGTGAGTGAAGCCTGCTGCTTACAGTATGTGCGGCAGGCGTGAGGAAAACCAGGCTAGGTCACAGCTTTAAAAGGGCAAAGTCTCCTAGCTTCGACTTGCCCCATGGTGGCCAGTTATCCTGTCTGTCATACATAATTTGGAATTCAGCATGGAGGAATGTAAACATATGTAAAATAATACTGAATGAATTTTATTTAAAGCAACCTCATTATTTAGTTTTATATGACTCCCAAACTTCCTCCCCCCATCTCTCTCTCTCTCTCATGGGAAAATGGTTGTTACCATGCCATGGTGCCCAGTACACAAGCAATTCACAGGCAGATCAGCTATTTATATGCACACACACACACACACACACACACACAGGGGTCATTTCATTGACAGGAATATTAGGACCTACAGCTGTCTGTGACTGATTATCTGTATTTCTCTCGTTCTGTCTGTTCTCTCCTCTCTGCTCTGTCCAGTGATTCCACCTCTTCCTCTTGACTGTACCCTTTCTGTGCCCTTTCCCTCCACCCTCTCCAGTCCTTGTGTTTCAGGTGGGGGTTCGGTCTGTGAGCAGTGATGGGGGACTGGAGTCTCCTGGGGAATTTCCTAGAGGAAGTCCAGGAACACTCCACCTCGGTTGGGAAGGTCTGGCTCACCGTCCTCTTTATCTTCCGCATCCTGGTGCTGGGCACGGCGGCCGAGTCCGCCTGGGGCGACGAGCAGAGCGACTTCCTGTGTGACACTCAACAGCCCGGTTGCACCAATGTGTGTTACGACAGCGCCTTCCCTATCGCCCACATTCGCTACTGGGTGCTACAGATTGTTTTTGTGTCCACGCCGTCCCTCATCTACATGGGCCATGCCATGCACATGGTGCGCAGCGAGGAGAAGCAGCGGAAGAAGGAGCAGGAGGACAGGGAATCAAAGGATGAGGGCAGGGGAGACCTGGAAGGGGAGAAGGAGTACCTCCAGCAGAAGGAGGATGGGAAGGAGATGACATTTGATAGGAATGGTCGCATTCGCCTGAAAGGGGCACTGTTGCAGACTTACATCCTGAGCATTGTGATTCGTACTGTGATGGAGGTAACATTCATTGTGGTGCAGTACCTGATCTATGGGGTATTCCTCAAAGCATTGTACTTATGCAGCACCTCTCCCTGCCCCAACCTAGTCAATTGTTACATGTCCCGGCCCACAGAGAAAAATGTCTTCATCATCTTCATGCTGGTGGTAGCCGGTGTGTCACTATTGCTCTCTGTGTTGGAGCTTTACCACCTTATCTGGAAGAGTGTCAGAAAGTGTGTGCGCAACAAGGCGATACAGAGGAACAACCACACGACTGTGACAGTGGCCATGTCTGCAGCCTTGGAGCCCAGCAGCCCACCGCGGCCGTCGGCCTCCTGCACTCCACCTCCTGACTTCAACCAGTGCCTGGCAGCCCCAAGCACCATGGACCCCATGACCTCTATGGCCTCTCATCCTTTCAACACCAGGATGGCGCTGCAGCAGAACTCAGTCAACTTGGCCACCGAGCAGCATCACAGCCGCGACAACCTAGAGGATGAGGAAGACTTCCTGAGGATGAGATATGACCAGGCACCCACAGAGGTGTCCAACAGCTGCTCCCCATCACCTCTGCTTCACTCTGGCTACATGAAGGACAAACGCCGCCTGAGCAAGACCAGTGGCACCAGCAGTCGGGCTCGCCAAAATGACCTAGCAGTATAGATCCTGAACCAAATGGAGTGGCTGGAACTTCAAAACCACGAAGCAGGGTAGAAAGAAAAGGGGCGGCTGTGGCTCAGGAGGTAGAGCGGGTAGTTTCCTAACCGGAGGATTAGCGGTTCGATTCCCGGCTTGTCCAGTCAACATGTCAAGGTGTCCTTGAGCAAGACACTAAACCCCCAGTTGCTCCTGGTGATGTTACCGGTGTGTGAATGTGTGAGTGCTTGGGAGTGCGAATGGGTGAATGGCCGAATAATGTGAAAGCGCTTTGAGTGCTGTAAAAACATAGAAAGGCGCTATACAAGTATAAGACCATTTACCAAAGATCAGCAAGACACAAATAAAAGATGTGTTAGTTTAGAATGAAGGAAAATGTGAATCATGGGCTAACCATGCAAACTCTGGCAATGAAGCCTGACACTTGACTTCACATTAGAAAGAGATCTGTGAGTAGGCTATGTAACCTGTCCTAGGGCTTGAAAACTTTCCAACCAAACTGCAAAAGGAGAACCTTTCTGAAATGAGAACAGGGTAACAGCTGTGATACCTGAATATTGCACATTTTATGCTTTAGTTAAACAGTTAAATTCAAAAACTGCAAAAGAGGAGATGAGAATGATGCATGGTGATTGGTGTGAGGTGTCTTAGGGAATAATACACATCTCAGCTATTCAGTTAGTTATAGATTACCCAGTTACTTTAAGTAACATAACCATTTGTTTTGACCCACTGAAAAAATTAAGAGCAATAAGAAAATATGGACTTGATATGCAATAAAATGTGAAGCTTGCTTCACAGGAAAAATGCCTTATCAAGTGTGGAAAACTGTCTGCACATGGCTTGTTAAATAAATGATTTTAAAAGCCATGATAGTAGCTTTAAGTTAAGCAACTTGTTGACTTGCTCTAACTAAAGAATGACAAGTTGACAATCTAAAAGTGTGGGTAAGATATTCATCTTATTTGACAAGAGGATGTTTGCATTTGTGGAGAGAGAATTTAGTATGTTGGAGGACTTTCATGTTGAAAGGGATTCAAGGGGTAAAAGAAAAGATGGTATTGGATAGTGGTTGTGTAGACATTCAGCCACTAGGTGGCAACATTGCACTGTTTTTCTGTTTCTCTCCTGGAGCCATTGTGTAAATAATAATAATAATTTGTCCTGATGCAATATACGTTTCAGTTTTGTCTTGAATGTATTGTATTTCCTTTCTGCTGTCTGATTTTACTGTATGCAGGAAGACAAACAGGCTGTTGAGAATCGCAGTTTGTAAATTAACATCTTATGGCAATTTGAGGTTTTGTTCTTCATTTCTATACTGCAAACATTCTATTGTACATTCACTGCAGTTGTTGGTTCTTCACATCTTCTTTCACCTTTATGCAATAAATGCCATCACTAGCCCATTACAAAACAATAAATCATCAGCTGTACAGTCTGACCGGTTGCTCTCAAGGTGTGTAATAATTCAAGTAGTTTAAAACATTTGTCATTATTCTTAGATTTCAATTTTCTATGTAAACATAAAAAATGTACATATTTTATTAAATAATTCCTTACATGCATATTAGCATATGAAAACAGAGCTGTCAAAGTCACAGAGAATTGACATCTGGACTAACTTCACCACATCAAAACTATGGGGTAAATATGGAAATGCTGCTAAAATAAGTGGAAATCCAGACAAAGAGATGCTAATATCAATTGTAGATAATGGATTTTCTGCCTTTATATATCAGCATCCCATCACCACTTGGATTTTTCAGTCTGTTGACACCAGATTGGGGAAGATGTGGAGTTTATAAAAACAAAGACTGTCTCGCCATCTCGGCCAAGAAGCTTAGTGCTGGTACCCAACTTGATCATTCACAAGCTGAATGGAATTGATGGCTACAGTAGATGTTTGCATGTTTTTTTGTTTGTTTTTACACATCACAGAAGTGGAAGACATACTCAAATTCTTTACTTCAATAAAAGTAGCAAAAACACTGCTCTGTTACAAGTTAAAGTACTGCATTCACCGTGCTACTGAAGTAAAAGTAGAAACATAGACTATTAGCATCAAAATGTACCAAGTTTAAAAGTATATTATGCAGAATGGCACATTCAACTTTAATGTCTATTATATTATAATTATTTATGTATTACTGGGTACATCACATTTAATGTTGCAGATGGTAAAGGTGGAGCTAAGGCTTGTAATTTGAATTACTGCTGGGTAGCTTATACATTATCCACCATGGATCAATAAAGTCTTGTAATTATACAGAATTTTTTTTTTCATTAATATGACTGAGAAGTAACTAAAGTTATCAAGCAGTATAGTGGAGCAAACAGTATAATAGGCTATTTGCCTCTAAAATGTGGTGTAGTCAAGGTATGTTGTAGCAGAAAAGGGACTCACCCAAGTAAAGAACAGATAGCCCTACCGAAAAATTGTACTTAAGTACAGTACTTAGTTACATTCCATCACTGATTTGTAAGCGGATAACTATGTTTCTAACCGTTTGTGATTATTGCCTTCTGATACTGGGATCACGTTGAAATGCAATTACTCATGGGTCCTGTAGGTGGCAGCTGTATACTTTGATACATCTCCTCCATCGCAAATCGTAATCGGAGTAGTAGTAGAAGAAGAAGACATGCATGGCTTTGACGTGGATTTCGGTAAACGTAGTTTTCTATTCGTGATTATAACATTTACGTTTATGTATGAATGATCTCTTCTGGAATACAGTTCCCAGAATGACATGAACCGGTGGCAAGAGTTACCGAATGACAGATGAATTAGTCTGTTAATAAACGTTGTGTTTCCTGGCGAAAGTCAAAGAAGAACTTTATTTGATCTCGTGTTAACAAAGTAGGTAAATATCTGTGAAAGCGAGCTACTCTGTCGTGGTATATTTAGCTAAGTTAACAGCTGAGACGGATGATTACACTTGGTGTCATCATGCTGTGGTGCAACCAACGTTACTGTTAGCTAATTGTGAAATAGTTATTGGTAACTGTGTGGCAAGTACTTTTTTTTCTTAACGTGCTTTGTGTTGAAACCGGTGAAGCAGCAAGAACATTTATTTGGGAGTTTTATAGCATAACTGGGCCACATGAACCTCATACATTTAATGAAGAATGAAATGTTACTTCTCTGGTATTAGCTCGTTGCAGCAGCCGGTGCTAAGATTTGAGGGTTTTCTTGCTGATCTGCTTTTTCTGTAGATACTTCGTCAACCACCACATCAGTTTTATCAGTTAACAAAGGTTAGTACATGAAACATAACTGAAAGTGGAGCTAAATCATTAGTCGACTAACTAAACGTCTGCATGATTAACAAGAAGTCAATTGGCAAGGTGATCCACACAACAATTAGTAGGCTATTGATTAGTTGACCGGCGTTGTTTGCTATTTGCTAGACCAAACAATTAGGCTGATTGATGTAATCAAGAAAGTTATCCTCGCAATTGGTCGATAATGTAAATATTAATTAACTGAAGCCCCAGTTTTGTATTTTGGTAACGAATTAATCATATCATGGAAAACAACCCAATTTCTCAAATGTGTGATAATACAATAAATATCTTAGCCTGACGGACCTAGTCATTATTTACTACATAGCACAGAGGAAGCTTGAGCTGGTGTGTCACCAGACTGAGGCTGACTCTTTCTTACCACCAGTAAAAAATGTTTCTTGTTTGTTTCTTTCATTATGCTAAGTCTCTACATATTAACCATAAGACAGTTTTTTTTTGTTTTTGTTTACAGTGAGGCCATGAGGAATCTTTGGACCAAAGCGGGTGTTTTAGGCTCTGTGTCAATAGCCTTTGGTTCACTGCTGTGGTCTCAGAAGAAGACTGACTCAGACCAGGTTGCTTCCAGTTGCTCCCATGATGAAACAATTCCCAGTTGTCCCTATGAACTAAAACTGGTCCAAGTCTTGTTTCGACACGGTGCTCGAACACCGCTTAAGTCTATACCTGATGTGATGGAGGTAAAAATCTTTTTTTGCATTTCATCAACTAATTTAGTGTCTTGAGTCTTTGATAAGATAGTGTCACATAATATCTGCAATTTCTTGTCTGGTCATGTGTATCTTGTCAAAGGCTCAGTGGGTGCCAACTCTTTTGGAGCCCCCAGCACACACCCACATGAACTATGTAGTGACAGATCTTCATGGTGGTCCCAGGCCTCCATCTCCTGTTGAAGACAGCTATCGGAGAAACGTGCTCTCTGTGAGTAAATGTGTTTTGTACCATTGAATGCAGTCAGACAACAAATGCAACAATGGAATGGGCTTGCAGCAGACAGCTTGACATATAGCTTGAAAAGCAGCAGTGTGATTAGTAACATAATGATATCATTCCCTGACACTATGTAATATGGTATGGTATAGTTGGACACTACTGGGACCAGAGAGTTGTCAGTAATGTTAATGCTATGACAAGTTAGTATTTGCTATGACAAGTGATCTTGGATTAACAGAGTCTGTAGATGTGAAGCACCTGGTGGATTCATAAAGTACTTCACTCCCACATTCATCCATCCATCTAATACCTATACCACATATTCCTGAATAGGGTCTTTGTTGCCTGTCCAGGTACTCCACACAGAAAGGCACCGGTTGGCCGGGGCTTGAACCCAGAACCTTCTTACTGTGAGGCGACAGCGCTAACCATGCGACTTACTGAGTCAGTTAATGGATATGGGATTAATGAATATGGCAGGGGCAGCGCAGTGGTTAGTGCTGTTGCGTCACAGCAAGAAGGTTAAGTAGAAGAGAAAATTACATTTTAAGCAGCAACTTATGGGAAACTCCCACTACGGTGTAATTTGTGTTGTAACACTCTCTTAAGTTAATGGGCATGCATACATTATACTGTGATCTGATGCTACCAAGAAATCCTCACAAGGTGGCAACCTAAAAACACACTATTAAAACATTATTTTGCAGAATTCCCTTTCTGTGAGTTGTGCATAGTTGTGATGACATTTATCTACACAGTAATGTACAGTCCACATGTTCTGCACTCCTTTGTTAATAGATACAGTACATGAAATGCTTAGTATTCCACTGAGTGAAGTGACTGAATATGAAAGTTCTGGGTTTAGCTTTGCAAACTAAATCCCACAGTATGGACTCCTGCTATGCTTGTACCACAGTGACTTTGGCTTCCTGCATGTGATCACAGATGTGTGTCTGTTAGGCCCCATCCGGGTAAAACCTGATCTGGTTTGGCAGGGTGGCACATTCCCCGGTCAGCTGACCACAGTGGGCATGCAGCAGCTGTACGAGCTGGGTACAATGCTAAGGAGGAGATACATTGAGGAGAGACCCTTCCTCAGCTCCAGCTTTAGCCCAGCTGAGGTCTAGTAAGTGCTGCACATCGTGACGAGTAGCACAGGCATTTTTCTGTAGTTTTGATACATTGGGTTTATGAGTATAGTACAAATGATATCAGCCTAAATGCTGTACTACTTTCAAGCTGTTTGCCTTCCATAACCTCTTTATTCCATTTTTAGTGTGCGGTCCACTAACATTATGAGGACCATTGAATCTGCCAAGTGCTTGATTGCAGGGCTCTTCCAGCAAAAACAAAAAGGTAGGGTAGAAATCCATCTGTGCATGATGTTATTCTGTTCTGGATCTCATTATCTCTTTTTGTAATTTTATCTTCTACTTAAAGAAACCGTGCATATCTTAACAACGGAGGCAGAGTCTGAAATTCTCTATCCTAACTATTATGGATGCAAGCTGCTCAAAATCCAGTGCAGGTATGCAGAGGATGTTTTCATACCAAGTACACAGTCGCACCAAGCCATGACCATCATATGCGCTCGCTACCCAAAAATAGAATCTTGAATAATGTGTTGTGCAAAATTATAGGCAAAGCTGAGATGCCTGTGACAGGTTGTCACGGTGTATCTGTGTTTTCTGGCTGACACTGTGTGTGTTGTGTGCAGCCACCGCTGGGCAGAGTCGTCCACTCTGCCAGACATTGCAACCGACCTGCAGAGCATCCAGAACACATTGGGCATCACTGCTCACCAGCATGTCGACTTCATCCTCATTAGGGATGACATGGTTGCCAGAGAGGTGACACTGCCACACCATGATCCATATGACTTTTTTATTAGGTCTCACCACAAGCTATCAGAATACATACAATTGTTATTCGAACTTAGCCTGGCCTAAGGCTGAGGCTTCGCAAGCTGCTAGTCCTGTAAGATGAAACTGCAACAGTTTTATTTTTAAACAAACTTGAAGAAAAACAAATCCAGCAGGATTTGAGTTTAGACCTCGACAGTATTTGGTCGTGTCATAATTAAAGATATTTTAGAACAAATATTTTTTGTTGATGTTCAAATAAACATCTTATAAATGTACTCACTAGTGTCACTGCATGATCTACAAGACAGGAGGGTCATTTTTATTGGTCCTGTCTCTAGTGTTTTCCTCTGCAGCCAAATCCAAATGGTGAAGCCCTACCTAATATTCTCATTAATCCTGTTTAAATCCAACTGTTATCAGTTACAGGTCGAACAAACTAAAAGACGCAAAGGAAGCAGCACATTTTTCAACATAGGCATTTTCTGCTTAAAACAGAAAATAAAGCTACTGGCGGTTTAATATCGACACCCTCCCTAAGCTGTCCATATTAGACACCATAATGATAAAAGCTCTGGAAAACTGTGAGCAGAAACTTAATGTCATGCCTGAGGTTTCCTTTCTAGTGCTGACTGATAGCGACTAGTTTCTGTGCATCAACAGACCCACGGCCTGCCTTGCCCTCTAGTGCTGGACACTTGGAGGAATAAAGTGGAGCAGAGAGCTGTGGACATGATCTGCCACATCTTTGAACCCAGCAAGAGGTTAGAGTAAACAAAAATCAGCCGAGGAGGGACTCAAAACTTCAATCTACCATTGTTCTAAACAACAACTTTAATCAGTGTCACTAAAGAGGCTTTACCTAACTGATGTCTTTCTTTCAACAGGTTAATTCTTTTGCTATGTTTTTGGCAGGGAGAATTTGAGGCTGTGTGTGGGACCGCTCCTGCACACATTGTTAGCCAACACTGAGGAGAAACTACAGAGCACCTCATCAGAGTCAAAGAGGTCGGGTACCTCACAATAAACACACTTGTTCATTAGATAGTTGATTGCACTGAGCTTTAATTGTTCAACTCATAAAATCCTCTCTCCAACAGGAAGTTGTTTTTGTACTCTGTACACGACACCACCTTGATGCCCTGTCTAATGGCTCTGGGCATTTTTGACATGAGATGGCCACCATATGCAGCTGATCTCACGCTGGAACTGTACCAACACCGACAGACCAACGAGGCCTTCGTCAAAGTGTCATACGTAGGCCAGGTACGTGCGAGAATGTGTCTACCTTTATTTGATCAGCTGTTCTAAATTTCTCCTTTGCTTCAGTCAAATTGCTCATCTTTCTGTAGGATCAACATATTCCAGGTTGCAGTGGAGTCTACTGCCCTCTGCAGGAGTTCAAACAGGCCCTGTCAGCGTATTCACTGAGCTCTGACCTCTACCAGTCACTTTGTAACAGCACAGAAGGCCTGACCGAGCCCTGAACCCCAAACACTCTGAGCCACATAGCATGTTTTTTTTTTAGCCCTCAGTTCTCAGTCCATCCAGCCATTATACCTCGCTGTCTGATTACAGCAGGGGAAAGTCCAGGGTTACATCTTTGACTTAATTTCATAATTCTTCATCTCTGTGTAACCATGGCAGTAAAATCTAATGCAATGATTATAGAATAGAATGAATTATATGGCCAAGTATGTTTTTTACGGCACATTGACAAGTGTATGTGCAGAATGAGTTTGGTATGCTCGATAGCAAATGTTCAGTGCACAGGTTTCCTTTTAGATACACTTGATTTGTTTGCCTTAGTGATGAAGAGTGGTGTTATTGTCAACAAATTCCAAAAGATTAAAAACCAAACACGTTTGCCTCTCTCTCTCAGTACCTTCGGAACTGTTTAGACACATACATACAAAAATACACAGTTTCATCTTAAGTCTAATTTCCTAAAATGACTGGACTAGTTTTAGCAAGCAGTAAAAAAACAACAAAAAAAAAAAACCTGTGCATTTGTTGGTGACTATTTTCAGTTGCAGATTAATACAAATTTCTAGTGTGTATTTATGGCACCGGGACATGTATGGCACAGAGGAATAAACTAAATCATGCTTTGCCAAAATCAGTAATCCTTGTTAACACGTTGAATTCATCGGTGGCTTTGCTCTTTTAGGGATTTGTTGACAAGAAAAATACAGGACAGTATCGGCTTTTTTTTTTTTTTTTTTTTTTTTTTTGGTTCTAAGCAGAAACTGTTGGAGTTAAATCTTGGACTAAAATATGGATATCTTAATAGTTGGTAAATGTGGTATAACAGCCTGAACCTGTTTATATGTGGTTATTCTGCCAATTTGGTTGTTTTCCTAACCAGATCTTTCATATTCAGTCATTTCACTCAGTGGAATACTAAGCATTTCATGTACTGTATCTATTAACAAAGGAGTGCAGAAAGTGTGGACTGTACATTACAACTCGGAGAATGGGCATTCTTCTGCAAAACAGTTTTAAGAGTGTGTTTTTAGGTTGTTGCCTTGTGAGGATTTCTTCATAGCATCAGATCACAGTATAACGTATGCATGCCCATTAACTTGAGTGTTACAACAACACAAATTATACCATAGGTGCTGCTTAAAATGTAAAATTTGGACTGGTGAGGCAGAAATAAATATTTTCAATGGTAGGTCTTTTTTGGGGGGTGGGGTGCTTATGTCACAGCAACAGCTGTTATTTATATCTGCCAAATAAATGCTGTTTCCAAAATAGTTGCAACTATTTTGTGGTGTCCTCTGAAAATAGTTCTAAGTACCTGCTGACAAAATGTCAACTTGGCATTGCTTGGAAATGACCTGGTTCCCTTGTACTAGCTGAATGTTGGTAAACTGGTTTGACACATACAATAACAAACATACCACCCAGTCCACTTCACTGAGTATATGAAAATAACCAAAGACTCACGTGGACACATGCACAGCAACACGCACACACTACATAGACAACATGTATATACCAAAACAATATCATTTATTTGTAGTCCATCACCACAGCCCTGGTAGGCTATTTTGCACCAAAGCCAATGGAGAAACACATGACAAGCTTATACAATAGGGAAGATAAAATCAACTGGATGGTAAGCAGTACGCCTTTACATTTCTGTGTCTCACTCTGGACACCACACCTAACCAGATCTACGTAGCTCTAGTTCTAGAATACCTGACATACCTGCTGTGGCATTCAGCCACTCCTGTCCCATTCTGCTGACCATCGGGATTATTGCTGTGAAAATGATAATTACCCAGAGTCAACAAGAAAGAACACAACGGGAACAAGAAGAACACACATAGCACATCTGGGTATTAGCAATATTATTCCCGCTGGCGAAAAGTCCGGTCCTGAAAGTTTTGGAGCGCCGTTTTTTTTTTTTTTTTTTTTTTTGGTTCTAAGCAGAAACTGTTGGAGTTAAATCTTGGACTAAAATATGGATATCTTAATAGTTGGTAAATGTGGTATAACAGCCTGAACCTGTTTATATGTGGTTATTCTGCCAATTTGGTTGTTTTCCTAACCAGATCTTTCATATTCAGTCATTTCACTCAGTGGAATACTAAGCATTTCATGTACTGTATCTATTAACAAAGGAGTGCAGAAAGTGTGGACTGTACATTACAACTCGGAGAATGGGCATTCTTCTGCAAAACAGTTTTAAGAGTGTGTTTTTAGGTTGTTGCCTTGTGAGGATTTCTTCATAGCATCAGATCACAGTATAACGTATGCATGCCCATTAACTTGAGTGTTACAACAACACAAATTATACCATAGGTGCTGCTTAAAATGTAAAATTTGGACTGGTGAGGCAGAAATAAATATTTTCAATGGTAGGTCTTTTTTGGGGGGTGGGGTGCTTATGTCACAGCAACAGCTGTTATTTATATCTGCCAAATAAATGCTGTTTCCAAAATAGTTGCAACTATTTTGTGGTGTCCTCTGAAAATAGTTCTAAGTACCTGCTGACAAAATGTCAACTTGGCATTGCTTGGAAATGACCTGGTTCCCTTGTACTAGCTGAATGTTGGTAAACTGGTTTGACACATACAATAACAAACATACCACCCAGTCCACTTCACTGAGTATATGAAAATAACCAAAGACTCACGTGGACACATGCACAGCAACACGCACACACTACATAGACAACATGTATATACCAAAACAATATCATTTATTTGTAGTCCATCACCACAGCCCTGGTAGGCTATTTTGCACCAAAGCCAATGGAGAAACACATGACAAGCTTATACAATAGGGAAGATAAAATCAACTGGATGGTAAGCAGTACGCCTTTACATTTCTGTGTCTCACTCTGGACACCACACCTAACCAGATCTACGTAGCTCTAGTTCTAGAATACCTGACATACCTGCTGTGGCATTCAGCCACTCCTGTCCCATTCTGCTGACCATCGGGATTATTGCTGTGAAAATGATAATTACCCAGAGTCAACAAGAAAGAACACAACGGGAACAAGAAGAACACACATAGCACATCTGGGTATTAGCAATATTATTCCCGCTGGCGAAAAGTCCGGTCCTGAAAGTTTTGGAGCGCCAAGTCAAATGTCATCCACAACTTGAAATGGAGTGGAGATTATTACTGTGCTGCAGAACTGCCAGGACCCTCACACAATGTGTAGCTCTCAATGGTAACAACAGAGAAAGAAGACGCTTTCTGCAGACAGTCCATGTTTGTGCTTTTTTTAATAATACTATTATCTTAATGAGGTCATAGTTTGGTTTGTTATACACTGGAGTTACAAAGGAAATTAAAATAGACTAAAATTCGAAGAGCCCACCAATGGTAAACAGTACAGTATTTTTAGGGGGCATTCCTCCCCCAATGAAAGTCGGTAAGAGGAGTTGAGAGGTCACTGATAGAATGCCTATACATACAGACACATACATACCACACATACAGTCTGTCAAGCACGCATACACACTCACACGTATATACTGTACAGAAACAGTCAAAACAATGGAGCGAGAGACGAGATGGAGTTCCACTAAAGTCTTCACAAAGCACAATTCTTCTTATTCCTTTCTCTTGTCCATACCACTTTCGTGACAAACGTGTTTTTAAAATCTGAAAAAAGTAGACATATACTGTAGCATCTTCACGCTGACTTTTAGTTAGGTTGATTCCTCTTTGATGTTGAAGTCATCTTTATAGTCAGATAATCAAAAACACAAGAGTTTTGTGAAATTGATGCACAACAATCCCATACATTCTGAACTTCAGTAAGTCAAAATTAAATGTTCTTGTGGCAAAAGTACTCCAATCTGGGCAAGTACGCGTCTCCGCTGGAATAGTTCCCACAGGACATTGCTCGGTAACCGATTAGCTCCATACCGTTCATTTCTGGGCATGTCCTCCATTTCATATTATACTTCCTTTATTTGACTCCATCAGAGTTTTCTGAACACCTTGATCTTTTTACTCCATCCTTGCATTTTGTCCAGCAACATTCTACACACAAGGTTTCTGTTGGATTAGAACATTCCAGGGCCGGGACTGAACCCCATGTCCATGTCACGTGGCCTCATCTGACCCCCCATCATCATTGTCTGCTGTGGGGGGCCTCCCATGCCCTGCAGTGACATCATCATGTTAGGTGAGCCGCCAGGGCCTGGGTGGGTCATTTGTCTCCCCTGCATCATCCCTCCCGGACCCCCAGGAGACATCATCCGGTGCTGGGGGCCCATCATACCTTGGCCCATGAATCCTGGTGGCCGCATTGAGTTGTGGCCAGGGTTGCCCATTGGAATGTCTTGGGGGCCCATTACCCCACCAGGCCCCCCTGGCATCCCCCCCATCCCCTGCATGGACATTCCCATCCTTGGTGGACCATCACCCATCATTCCCTGCATGGGAAAGCCAGAGGGGTGTGGTGGTTTCCCCCCAGGGTTGTCTCCTCCACCACGGGGAAAGTAAGACAGAGTCTGGCTAGGCTTCTCTGATGGGATTATCCTAGACAGGTCAAACTCAGGGATGCCGGATGCTCCTGGCCGCATCACCTCATGAAGGTCTGCATCACTGAACCCACCTTGCATGTTATTGAACTCTGGCCCTCCAGGGGTATTGGGCTTGCACATACCCCCATCACTCCCTCCCCCGTGAGGCATAGTCCCCATCCGTCCTCCCATAGGTCCTTCTCCTTGGAAGCCCATGGGATGGCCAGGGAATCCTTGGGGACCAGGACCATTGTGCGGTGAGAAAGGGCCTTGCTGGGAAGGGGACTGAGTGAGAGGGTATCCTTGGCTTCGGTGAGGGTAACCCATACGCCCCTGGGGCATCATTTGAGGGTTTGCTAAACCAGGGTCTTGGGGATTTGGTGGAATCATCATGCCATGAGGAATCATGCCTGGGCCCATATTAGGGGCATTTGGAGAGGGCATCTGTGGAGGCATGCCATGGGAGAGAGGCTGGGACCCCACTGGATTCATACTCAGAGGGCTTAGGGCAGGCATGGGTCCAGCGTTTCCAGGTCCCATCATACGTGGATTGCCTTGGTGGTTCATTGGCATACCTATATGGTGCAAGACAAAACAAATGTATTAAATATATAATACAATCCCTTGTGAAGCACAAGGAATATTAGAGTGGTCCAAGGTGGGTGGGACCGAAACTACAAGTTAAACAACAAAGATATTTCAGATGTCTCACCGTTATTGTTCACTGAAGGCAGGTTTGGGGAACGAGCTGGGGGCGAGTCGTCATCAGAGCTGGCAACAGTCTTTATGGCATCATGGTAAAGTGGGGTGGAGCTGGGCATTGCAAACTTGGACATGCGTGACATCATGATGGAGAGAGGATTCTGGGATAGTGTTGGCTCAGGGGGTATGGTGTATGGGCTGCCAGACGAGACATTACCTGGGAGGGACATGGAGCCAGATGGAGCCCCTGATGAAGGAGGGGCTGAGGGAGGACCATTACCACCTAGAGAATGACATAAGAAAAAGATGATAAAACTTAGCAAACCTTTTATTCTCTGATAGTAGAGAGACAAAACAAAAACTATTAGCAAGTGTGAAACCCCTTAGAACTGTGGCCACTGGGATGTGGTCCAGTGGCCACAAGAGGGAGCCACTAGACCATAACCCACTCACCCCACCCCTCATACAAGAGACACTAATGATGCACCTGATAGACAACTTCCAATTCTTTTATTTTCCATATTCCATCTATATCTGATATTTAATACCAACAATCACTGAAACCAACAGAACACTTATAACCAATAGCTAAAATTTCAACAGCAAACCAGTTACAAAATAAATGCCAATATTACCTGAATGAAGGTAATAATTATTGAATGATGCAGCAGAGACAAGTAGCTGATAAACATAGACAAGAGAAAAATACCTTGCTCCATATTCCCCATCATGTTTGGTGAGGTGATACTGAGGGGAGGCTTGCCACCCTGAGGTGGCACTCCGGGACTCTGCATGGGTGGTTTTGGTGAGGAGGCCCATCCTGGAGAGGGGTTAGGAAGAGAAGGAGACCTCATATGAACAGGAGAGGCACCTGCTGATCCCATCATGGAGTGAGGGGACTTCATTGGTGCTGAAGCTGGTTGAGCTGGAGGGCCACTGGGGCCTGTGGGACCAGTGAGCATTCCAGCCAGCTGGGATGGTGTCTGAGGGGATTTAAGATTTCCAGAGGGAGAGCCCATCATGGGGGACTGCACTTGCCTCAGAGGAGGGGACTTA